TAACATGCTAAACAGGACTACAGCCGAGCTGCAAAAAGACAAGACGACGTCACTCGTCATGTACTATTTTGCAACAAAATGGCCCAAAACGGAGACGTAAACACCAGAAGTGCGCAAGTATGCAAGTGTGTCGACGAACTGTCAGTTGTACATGGACTTTTGCTCAGGGGAATAAAGCTCGTCTTTCTCTCAAGTCTACTCCAGGAAGTGCTGGAAAGACTTCACACAGGACACTAAGATACCGTCAGGTGTCGAGCAAAAGCACGCGGGTCTACATAGTGGCCAGCGATCAGCCAAGACATTGAGGCGTTCGTGAGCAGATAGATGCCCAGCCTGCGAGAGGCACCGCCAAGCACCAACCGAGCATCTGCTTGAGACTCCTCTCCCAGAACGTCCATGGCAAGTAGTCGGCACCAATTTGTTCTACTTAAAAGGAAGGAACTACATTATAGCCGTTGACTACTACTCGAACTTTTTTCAACTTGAAGATCTACATGGGACACAGATGAAGCGCGTTGTTCATTTCTTGGACGACATGTTTGCTCACTACGGCATCCCAGATATCATTCGGTCAGACAACGTATAGCTCACACGAGTTTGCACAATTTCTGAGTGGCACGGGCGTAGAACATGTGACATCTAGCTCACATTATGCACAGAGAAATGGTGAGGCTAAGAGAGCGGTTCAGACGGCCAAAAACATTCTGCGCAAATCTGACAGGGTCATTGAAGGCCTTCTGACACACCCAGCAACGACTGGCCCTGGGGGCTACTCCCCTGCCGAACTTCTCATGGGCCGCAAGCTAAAAACAAATGTTCCTACCATGCCTGGGGTGTTGCAACCAATGTGGACGTACCGATCCACGCATCGAAAACGAAACAAGGCCATTCGAGAGAGGGAGGCGGAAAAATACAATGTACGACACAGGACGAAAGAAAAAGAGCCCCTTCATCCAGGCACGGTGGTCCACTTCAGCGGCGTCGCCCGGGCTGCAACAGCGTGAACGGTAGCGGCGATGTTTGACGTCGATACTGAAAGTCACGAGCAAAATTGAACCAAGTGAATCAGGCATAACAAGTCGGGGGCGGTTACTGGTAACAATGGTCAACATCTCCTTGTATCTACTGTTTATACCGAGCCTACTTACCCTAAGCAACCTTCAAACCTAAGTCATTTAATGCCTGCACTTACTTCTTATCGCAATTACCAGATCAACGTCTGGTGTACGGACCGCTCTCGTTTGAACGAGCAGAGTACAACAAACAGACAAGCTTAAAAGAGCAGACGACAATTCTAACAATCAGGCACCTTTTTGAGCTTGAAGACGCACTGAACGTAGTTCGCAGGTGGTCCGGACAACTTAGCCGTTTTTCCGCGTTCATGTTGGAACAAAACGAATAAATCTGACGACCACAAGCATCCGTGAATTCAACCTAAAGTGCTTCCCGGACAAGGGATCGTGGTCCGACGGCGTCTGGTTTTCGTTTTACAGCGGAGTTGTTAAGGGCTAGTTTTCCCAGTTTCGTGTCCGGTACCAAACAAATGTCGACACAGTACTAAACAAAACTCTGGACAGATATAGCCATCTTTGAGCGACGTCGGCAACGAGACAAGCAATCTGGTTGCCGCCGTCGCTCATAAATGGCGGCAACCTTTCCAGTCTTTCCGTAAAGGTGCGCGATGGTCCGGTAGTCGCCGTCGTGTACGCCCCCCCCCCCCCCCCCCCTCGTGACGCCCATGAGGGACAATGAAGCATTCATGATGGACGTCTTCGGCTGGGTCATGCACGGCGAGGACACGTCTGCCGTTGTGATGGGAGAACTTTAACGTTGACATAGCACGCCAGGAAGACCACATTAACGCCAAAACGATTTGGCGTTAATGTGGTCTTGAGCTCCGACTTCAAGTTGGGCAACCTCACCCCATTCCGAAGAGAAAAGAAGGGTGCCAAAAGGGCCATAGGTAAAAATCTCTGCTTTGTGAACTGGTGTCGTTTACGAGATACCGATGACCTGGTATATAGGTATATAGGGCAGACCTCAAGATGGTTGAACGACCGTCTAACTGAACACAAAAGAAACGTAAAGAAAAAAGCGCCTATTGTCGAAATCGCGACACATGTACAAGAGTGCAGAAACTGCACAGCCAAGTGGTCCGGTACAGCGGTAGTATGCAAAGAGGTCAATGACGTCAAAAAGGTTCTAAAAAAGAGAGTAAAAATTTGGTTGATCGGCAAGTGCATAAGTCAGGCGTCTATGCTTCTTAGTGATCCTGCGAAAGCTTTTCTGCGAGTATGAATTGAACAGGCCCTGTGTTTTTCGCGAGGGGTAGCCCCTTTGTCATGATCTTGTTCCGTTTATATGCGTACGTAGAGGGAAAAAAAGGAAAAAAAAGGTGTACAGGTCAATGCGTTTGAACTGCAGTCGGTTCCGTGTGGTTCACTTGCTTGTTTTTTGTAACGATATAAGTGGCTGCAAGGTCAAAGCATGTTTCCTTCGACCGATGTTTTAATGTTGTTGTTAATTCCGGATCTTCTTTTTTTTTTTTAAGACAAGTGTGGTTGCAAGGTCAAGGCGTGTCCCCTTGGTGCCATTGTTTGGAGTGCGTTCTTTCTGGTGACGATTTTGGGTTCAGGATGTAGAAAAGGAGGGGTCTAAGACATTTCGGTGTAGGACATTTCGGTGTAGGAACTTTCGGTGCGGACTTCTCGGTGTGCGGCCTTTTCGGTGCAAGACATTTCGGTGTAGGGACTTTTCGGTGCATGGACATTTCGGTGTATGGATATTTCGGTGCATGGTCGTTGAACACAAAAGGGACACCCAAGATTTGGTTTTCTCGCCCTTGTAGTATTTGTCTTTCGCCCCCAAGTTGATACGAAAAAGTAATTCTTCCTCTGTTCAGCTTTGTTTCCTCGAACGCTACAGAGAACGCTTCGGCATTCATAAGAAACTTTTCCCTCCTTTTGGTTCATTCTTTGTAGTTGACAGAACAATGGACCTTTCTGCGTCTCTAACTTTTTGTGTTCTGAAGACAGCCATCTTTTTTTAGAAACGGGGATAAACGCTAGTCTTATCGCCTCCGACAAAGGTTGATAACCGTGCGCCTCTTTCGGGAAGCCGGGATCGGGGAACTTGTGACGAAAAGGGTCAACAATGCCAGAAACTTGCCTTACCTTAACCTTACACTTTGAGAACTCGATGTTATATGATAAGCATCTGATATTTGCGTGTCGCCTCGTCGTATACCAACCGGTGTTGGTTAAAACGAACAAGGAGGTGACTTTGTTGGTCTGATTCGCCTTTAGCGGAAAGATGAAACTTTATACGGGCTTCAGGACAAAGCCATGGACGAAGCTCAACACGATGCTTCGAAGAACGGGGCCGCCGCCAGGAGTAGTTATAGGTAGGACTCCGTGTTTTCGGATATATCCGAAAAACTCTGAAAAGCACTCGCCGGCTAAAATTTTCGTTGATTCGGGTTTATCTGAAAAACTCCAATATCGAAGTCAAAGCACAAAAAATATTAGTTCTAATATAAAACGGTACCAAGAGCGCTCACCAGTGCCCTTCCAAAACTTGTATAATTGCCAAAAGAGGCTCATCTCGTCAATATGCGTGCCATCAGCGACAATAGCTGACGAAATATGACGGCACCTATTACAGCAAGCTCTGAGATAGAGTTCCTAACAACCGTGATTGCACCAGCTGTAAAGTTCGTGCAATAAAAGTGAATTTCGTTGTCTTCATCCGTCGAAGTGTGAATAGCTTCTTTTTATTTTGTTCACCATTTTCGGAGATCTGGAAATTGACCAGAAATAAAATTCCATAAACTCGTAATTTCTGAGAATTCAGTATTTACCGAAAATAAACGCCGGTAAATGCCAGATTTTTGAGAAAAGAAAACACAAAAAAACCTCCAAATTTGACGAAAGCTAAACTCCGAAAGCATGGAATCCTAGTTATATGCTATAAGTAGTTTTTGGTCTAAACCGAAAAACACAAATAAGGGTATGCCGATTTCTTTTTTTTTTTTTAAGATCACTATTTTAGAGCGGGAAGAGTAGGGGCAGGGGAGGGAGGAGGTAAGTCTACCCTTTGTTCGGCTGCTATGTTATGCTCCTGCGGTGTCCAACAATCAACCCAAGATAGCTTGTCCGGATATAGGCTTATCACTGGAATTGCCTTTTGTAAAGCCGTTCCATTCAACAAACTTTTTTTCTCTCCTAGAAGAATTATGGAGAAATTGACGATACGGACAAACAAGGCAGGAATTCGTTTTCTTTTGTTTCGCCTTCAGCGGGTGAGGTGCGAAAAGGGGGGCACCCCTGCATTTGGTCTTACGTCACCAGTTATTTCTGCCCTTTCCAGTTAATTTTTCGCATTCTATCATAAAGGAAGGAAGGTCCAGGAGAGGACATAACGCCGCAGATGTGAAGCGGAGGGAGGGGGGAGAACTTCCGGTTTTAGAGGACACGCCCCTATTGGTGACTCACTTGTGTGTCGCCTCGTCGTATGCCAACCAGTGTTGGTGCAAACTAACTCGTCACTTCCCTGAAATGGCTGTGTACTTGCGAAGTAACCGCGGTGGGCTGAAACTTCTGCACGAAGGCTTCGAGTATGACAAGGAACGTTGCTTCAAAGAAAAGGTGAGCCTTTCACTGAGTTTGCGATTCAAATGCGATCTTTTTTTAATAGTACGAAGATTGTTACGCCGACTCTTCCTGTCTTTAGCTAAGTTATAATTTATAAAAACGCCTATTCCTCGCAGACATACTGGCAATGTAGCCGGAAACTGGAGTGTAAAGCAAGGGCTCACACTATTCACGAAGAAGTTGTCAAGCTGATCAACGAACACAGCCATGCTCCCAGCCGACTGGACCAAGAGGCCAAGTTGGCGTACTCATCAATGAAGGAGAGAGCACGGACGACTGAGGAACCCAATCAAGCCATCGTCGGACGCCTGGTGGCCGAGATGACACCGGAAGCTTGCAGTAACTTACCGCCTCAGGACACTGTTAAGAGAACATTAAGGTAAGTGTTATACACGAATGTTACGAATTAACATCTTTGCTACCTTAGCAAAATATATGCCACCTCATATGCTATGGAGATGTCCAGTTTATCATCGGGCTAGCCTAAACATTTTTAAAATTGAAAATATAGTAAAATAATAATGAGTAACCGCCCTATAGTTGAAACGTGACAGCAATAATATTTCCAACTTTTTTGCATGCAGGAGGGCGCGGGCGATGGAGCAACGGCCGATGCCTCTCCCTTCACGCTTAGAAGACGTCGTCATCCCTGCGCAGTACGCGTCGAAGATTGACGGGTCCAGATTCCTGTTGCATGACTCCGGTGTGCAAGACCAGGACCGTTTCCTTATCTTCTGCAGCCCGCAGATGGTGGATGTTCTCCGAACATCTAAGAAGTGGTTCGCCGACGGGACGTTCAAGGTTGCGCCTGAGTTGTTTTACCAGGTTTACAGTCTACACTGCGAAGTGGGCGGCTCCATCCTGCCTGCGGCATACATTTTGCTAACGCGGAAAGACTGTGGGACGTACACGCGAGCCCTGAACACCCTTAACGCCGAGTGTGGGGGAGATTGCGAGCCAAGGACCGTCACAGTGGATTACGAACTGGCGGCTATCAACGCTTTCAGGGCGGTCTTCCCAAGCGCCGACGTGCGCGGGTGTTTTTTTCACCTGTCGCAATGTGTCTACCGCAGACTTCAGTCGGAAGGACTACAGGAGCTGTATGCTTTTGACCCCGACATAAACCTGGAAGCTCGCATGATCCCAGCTCTTGCAATTGTGCCCCAGGACGACGTGGAGGGGGCATTCACCGAGCTTGCGTCCAGCATCCGCGCAGAACTTCTCCCGGTGGTCGACTACTTCGAGGATGTGTTTATTGGGCGGCTAACGGCACGGGGCAGAAGGGATGCGCAGTTTCCAATTAAGCTATGGAACCACCACGACACCGTTCTCCAGGGCGGCTCCAAGACCACGAACTCAGTGGAAGCCTGGCACCGGAGCTTCCAAGCTCATGTTCAGTGCTCGCACCCAACTCTCTGGAGATTCTTGGAGGTGCTACAACGAGAAGACGCCCTGCAACTTCACCGGCTTGGAAGACTCGAGATGGGCCAGCGCTTCAAGCAGGCCTCGAAATACGCGAAGGCTGCAGAACGGTTAAAGACACTTGCTAGAGAATACGACGCTAGTGATGTGCGACGCTTCCTTAGGGGAGTTGCCCGCAACGTGTCGTTCTAGGTCCCGGGCCATGTGCCTTTTGTAAATAAAAGTGGTCCACATTACATTTTGTGTACTATTTTGCTTCTGAATGCATTTGGCTTCGGACTTTTGCTTGATAATGAAACCCACGACTAACCTATGATGTGTATCTTTACCTGTTTCTATAGTATTCAGAAGGCCTATAATCTCGAGCTACTTTCCAGAAAGAGCATTCCATCAGGAATAAAGTCATACAAGCGAATAAGTTTGTGTTTAGCTATACACCTGCTAGCTAGGAAAATATCCTCGTAGTGTGAAAGAGGAAAGCAATTTAACTTGTTTAAGGTATGTATGTCTTAATAACGAGCAGAATCAACCGTGTTTGAATTGGGACAAGCTTTATGTCTTAATGAATACAACTGTTTTATTTTATGCGTGAACATAAAATGTCCGAATAACTGCAAGTAAGTTCAACTTTCCGAACTTCAAATTTACACCGAAATTTCCGTGCACCGAAGCGACCGTACACCGAAAAGTCCGTACACCGAAATATCCGTGCACCGAAATTTCCGTGCACCGAAATGTCCGCACCGAAACGTCCTACACCGAAATGTCCTACACCGAAATGTCCGGATCCCGAAAAGGAGGGAGCACTAAATAAAGTGGTTAGCTGTGTTTGAGGCGTCGTCTTGTTTCTTCAAATTATGATGTATTTTTTGCAGCGACACCGTCTTGAACAATTGTACTTGATATGTTCGTTCTTTTTGTACGCGAACCGAGGTACTGACAAACTTTTGGGGACTTTAAGTTAAATCGGATTCCATTGTTTCTCGATGCACATCGCGATCTCAATTTAATAATATTTTACAATTATTCCGGCACTGCTTGAATTCAGTTTCCCATTTAAGAAAACCACTCTTCTTCAACTTTCGGAGCAGAAACTTTTTCTCTTACAGTGTCCTTAACTCAGCTGAAAACCAGTAAGGAAATTTATCTCGACGGTTTGTTCTTAATGGGATATATTTGTCCATACCCCCCTGAATTACACTAGTAAACCCGGCGACCTGATCTTTGGCGTCCTGGCATTGCAAGGTTAAACAGCAGTCGACTTTTCAGAAGTTGTGATAAAGTCCGATGTAATCTCCCTTGGGGAACCTATAATAATTATAATAATAATTTTATTGGAGACGAAATTAAGGAACTTCATTTTGCGGGATTGGACAAAGCCTGCACGGGCTTATGGGCCCAGACCCAGTATGCTAAATCGTCTATTAAAATGTTTACAATGTCATTTGATTGTAATATATTATTGCTTGCACAAAGGCACCTACACGCACATATACACGCACAAATGTAACTCTTGTTGTACCATTAAATCACAGTGAAACAGTGCCAAGTCGTTGACTCGGAAGTGATTGCGGCTTGAAGACGAGCCGAACGATACCCACACACACACACGCACACACACATACGCACAGACAAAAATGGGCCGAAGTCGACTGGAAGAAATGTCGTGGGGTATACAACTCTTCTTGAGAAGGAACAATCACATTTCCGTAAAATGACTTGTCAAAAACAAAAAGTGTCGATTACAACGAGAAGTATACAAACGTACGCAATGTTAAAATTCGTTAACATTTTTTTTTCAAATTCCTTTTCGTTGTAGCCTTGAGAATACGCCCTGGAAGATTATTTAAAATGAAAGGAACGCAATATGAGCGAGTTCTCTTACCGCAACACGTGAAGCATCGAGGGGTTTCAAAACGAGCTACGTGGCCGATAAGTTCTTGATAAATGAAGGAACGCTTAAAGTCATCGTTCCAGACGTGGAGAAGCACAACACTTTGTAAAAATATAGAATAAAAAGTTGGTAGTTGTAGAGATTCAAAGAGTTCTATGTCGGATGTGAAATTCATTTGGTATCCAACGCTTTTCAGTAACCCTTTTAGAATACGATTGGTCTTGTCTTGCCATAGTTTTGAGCAATTAGCGAACAAAGTGATGCGCCGTACCTAAGTATGATGTAGCCTTGAGCATGCGCGATTGACTTTATGATAGTAAATGGTATAAACACCTTTTAATTAAAGTGTAAACAATTAACACTTCGAAGTATGTTCCATATGTATGTGAGATGCGTGTTCCAGGACATATCAGAGTCGAAATGTATGCCCAATTACTTCACATTATTAACACACTCCGATATAGGACATGTACAGTTACGACAGTTTGATTTGTGTAGTACAACCGACCAGCGCAAATTCAATTTCTTTAGTGGATTTTTAAAGCAGACAAATTGTGTCTGAGGCATGATAATTCTAATTAGATTTGTTTTTGTTCGAGCGAGTCCCCTAACTGCGTCTCGTCCTCTGTCAATAGATGTAAGGCTTTGTCATAATTCACATGACAACATATGAAAACAATATCGTCTGCATACTTAAATATCCTGCAGTTGGACACTCTGATTGAGATGTCGTTCAGATACAAATAAAAAGTAGGGGTGACAGAACACATTCCTGGAGAACTCCCGCTTTTATTATTACGCGCGAACTTTTAAAAATTCAAACACTTACGATTTGCGATCGATCAAAAAATAAGTATTCAAGTACAGCAAAAAATTAACCCCGGAAGTCAAAGTCATAAAGTTTCTGAAGAAGCAATTTATGGCTGATTGTATCGAACGCTTTAGCAACACCTAGGAAAAGGGCACACGTGAATAGGTTATAATAAAATGCAGTGTATGAGATCGGTGAAATCCTCAAGCAGGGACTGAGTGCCACGTCCAGGTACAAAACCGTATTGGTTCTCTGATAAAATTTGAGAAGTTTCAACGAAACAAGTCACTCTATTGGACAAGTGTTTTCCAATATCTCGCCAATGCGCGGTAAGATTGAGATGGGGCGATCGCAGTCCAGCCGACTTGGTGTTCCCCCCTTGAAGAATAGTTTTACGAGTGCGTTTTTTAACGCAGCAGGAATATCGCAAGACAAGACACTATTTATCATAATAAGAATGACGCTTTTGATAGTTTAAAAAAATAATAATGATAATAATATTAATAATCATATTTGATGTAGGTGCTTCAAATACAACTATATACACTATCGGGACCGTCAAAGCCCTAAAGACTTCTAGGAATAGTTGCCTACAAATTACTTAAGGAACACTCAAAGCAAGTTAGTATAGAACTTTTAGAAAATTAGAACGCGTGACATAGAGAAATATATACAAACAGGGGAGTACTGCACAGCGCACCAAAGTCACATCAAGTAGAAAACAAAATTAAAACGAAAAATTAATCGGTGCTTTAAAAAACAATTTCTAGGCAAATACTCTTCAATTTGCGTTTCAAAGCTCCGCGAGAACTTACGTCGAGGAGCACAAAGTGGAGGTTGTTAAAAATATGGGATACATAATAAAGGCGAATGCATTTTCCAAAAGCTGTTTTTATGCGCGGCGTTTGATATGGTCTCATACCTCGAAGGGCGCGACAAGCAGTGTTGGGGGTCTTAAAGGCGTTATCCCAGTAGTGCCTTAGCACTACTGTTTCCAAAAATAGCAATCTAAAAGTTGATCGCGAGAGGTCGTTAAAGAGGTTATTAGATCTTTGGAGAAGAACCATAAGCTACACTACGCAAGATGCCGTTCAGTAAGGAGTTCACTTTAGACTATAATAGGTCCGTACACTGTCCGAATACAGTTATTCTGTAACGGAAAATATCATAAACAAGGGCATGCGTCAGAAGTCTTCTTCTTGTGACAGGAAGAAGTATGCGAGGAATATATAAGGTGAACGAAGCGGCTCGTAATTTTTTGAAAATATAGAACTGAGAGTTCCATGACAGGTCGGAATCAAAATAAAGTCCTAGATATTTCGTACAGTTCACATAGACAATTGGCGCACATTTGCAAAAACCACAGTCTGACGTGTGAAGAAAAATTGGTTTGTCTAAAAGAACCTGTTCTAGTGGACTACGAAAACACACTAGTTATGTTTTTTTCGCATTTACTCTAATGACATTGGCTGAAAACCAGTTTATGAGCCGTATTACATCTGACTGTAGTAGCTCAACATCTCATGGTAGCGTACATGACTCGACAAGAAGACAATATATTTTATTTATTTATTTTTATAATGCAATTAAATGCAAAGGTGCAAGCGAGCTGGACAAGAATGACAAGACAGTATCGTCGGCGTATTAAAATACTGTGCAGGACTTGACCGCCTGCTGAAAATTATTGACGTAGATGTTAAAAAGAAGAGGCGATAGTATCGAGCCCTGTGGAACACCAGCCTTTAGGGACATTTTTAAACTCCGATCTGCACATATTGAAACGAGTTATGTACGACTTGACAGAAAGTTTTCTAGCAGTGTGTAAAAAGGGCCTCGGAAGCCGAGGCTGAACAGCTTATTTAAAAATACCTTCTGTCAGACTGAGTCGAAAGCTTTAGGAACATTGAGAAAGAGCGCACAGGTGAAAAGATTATGGTCAAATGCATTATGAAGAGCATCGGAAAAGTCTTCAAGTAAGGGCTGGGTGCCTTTTCTCATAACGAAACCGTATTGTTGGGGAGACATAAGGTTAAATTTATCTAAAAACGCTCACATTGTTAAGAAAATGTGTTGTTTTACGAGTTTCGCCAGTGAAGGCAAGATAGATATAGGACGGTAGCTTTCGATGTTACTATGATCCCCATTTTTATATAAAGGCCTGACAATGATTGTTTCGAGCTTTTCTGGAATATTACTTGACATTATGAAGCCATTTAACATGTTTAGTATCAGATGACTTAATGGTGCGTAATTTCTACGCAAATCAACCATCCGGACGTTGTCAATTCCAGGACACAAGCCCGGCTTGAAACTCGTGGGACCTGAGAAAAATCCGGCACATGTATTTAAGATTAAAAATTATTAACTGCTTCGTCAGGCGTTAGTTTGAGCATTTCTGACTTCCTTTTACAGTGTTAGTGTGCAGATTCAGTTAAAATGGATGTCCACCCACCTGGGCAGTGGGACTTCACACTTCAAGTCAAGATAATGAACGCATATTTCATTCAACGTTTTATG